TATACTACCGGACGGGGGCAGGTCAACTTTAATCGCGTCCACATTGAACCAGAACAGTTTTTTTACTTGAATCCCCTTCAAGTCGGAGATAGATCCGACACTCAATTTCCCAGTAATTGTTTTCTCGTAGTACACCAAGTAATCAAACTGCACGTAGCAGGGCTTTTTGAGGGATACCTCGAAGGAGCCGTCGTCGGAGAGCGTGTAGGAAGTTACGGAGTCCGGTAAGAGGCCGATCGGTAGGCTGTACTTGGTCAAAATATCGTAGACAGTGGGCTCCGACGACCACACGGAAGCGCCGACGGCAAAGAGCAGCATGATGATGAGAAAGCTCGGCCGGATTTCTAGGAAAGCAGCCATGGTTGTGGATAGAATGATTTTGACGTGAAATTCAGCTGAAAGAGTTACGCAGTAAGGTACTCTTTTTCTATATAGGTCAGTTACGGCCTGTTTGGATTGAGCGTTGAGGAGTTTTAGTAATGGAAGTGTTCGTAAGTGTTGATGCTAACACTTGTTTGGGAGAAAAAATCAGAGGTGTTAAGAAGTGTTAGTAATGGTTAGGAAGTGTTAATAATAACCTCCCCAACACCTCAATTGTCCATTTTTTTAACACCCCGATTTGGAGTGTTTTGAGGTGTTGGACAATTATTACCCTTCTCATTTGCCCGAAAAACATAAAATGCTTCGACATTTCACTTCGAATGTCTTTCCCACAGGTCTGATGGTTTGTTTTTTCATCTCTTCTCTTTACTCTTTCTTTACTCTTTCTTTAACACTTCCATTATTAACACTTCATTCATTTGACTCTCCCAAACAAGGTAAAATTATGTCTAACACTTACACTTCCCTTTCCTTCCGAGCCCTTACTAACACTTACTAACACTTCCATTACTAACACTTCCAAACACTCCATCCAAACAGGCCCTTAAGAACTTGTGCTTTTTTTTAAATGAAATGGGTAGAAGTGATTAAATAAAAGTTGATAGTGTTTGAGAAAAAAGTGATTTTGAAAAATAAAAGTGGGTAGTGTTTGGTAAAATAAGTGCTTTTTGTATAATAGAAAAAGTAAAAGCACTTTTGACGCGGAAGTTGAGAAAAATAAAAGTTGTAGTGTTTGAGAAAATAAGTTTTTTTAAAGCCAAAAGCTGAAAAGTTCTTTTTTAAAAGCAGTTGCAAACCAACCCTTACTCGTAGAAGAAACGGCAGTGCCCTCAGTCCTCACCACAAAAATGTCATCGTTTTAGTTAATTCTTTAATTATTTATTTATTTTTTGGAAGAAATCGGCTTAAAACAATTCCTGACAACCGTCGTCCCTCAGACCAGATTCGGAGTTTATCGTCTTAGCAATATAACTCGCTGATCCATTAATGGACACAAATGAGCCAAAGACGGTTAATGTAGTCATTCCATCACTTAAATCCAAAACCACAGTCTTACAATCGAAAGAGATAAAACAACAAACAAACACAGACAAAATCAGACCATTAAAATAAATAAAAGCAAAAAAAATCTTCGCTCAGTCTTCCAAGAACCATTTTCATCATTTGCAATGGAGTCAAAGATTCACTATTTTTCAGCTTGAGAATATGATGAAATAAAGCAAAATGGCTCATTAAATTGTCTGCGCTTCTTTGTTATGAAACAACAGTCAGTATATGCAATTTTGGACGCGATTTTCACTATGGGTCATCTGGAAACAGTCTCGCGGTGCTTTAATACCGCCGATTTTTTTTGTGAAAATCAAGTAGAAGAAAATGTGATCAAGTAGAAAAAGGAGGTAGAAATTTGAAACCGAGCGAATCCACAATTGTGTGCTGTAAAAGCCTTTAATAATTTAGTTAGTACAATTGAACTTAACATTCAAAAAAGTGTCTAGTAAGATTTATTTGAATTAAAAAAATATCACAAGCTACTGATTTTGATTGTTTAACTTAAGGGGGTGTATTGTATTAGGATTTAGTGGCAAAATTTTAAAAGTCCATGGATTTTAAAAGTTTAGGTGTATTCAATGTGGACTTTTAAAAGTCCACAAAAGTCTAGGTGTATTCAATTCGGACTTTTAAAAGTCTATAAAAGTCTAGGCGTATTCAAATTTCCGTTCATTCTTATTGACTTCTAAAATCATGGATTCTCGTGGACTTTTAACTCATTTTTAGTGCAAAAATTCTCTACAATTGTTTCTTCTCCTCACCAAAGATTTTCGTGGACTTTTCTTATATCGGTTCTTCATCCCGTCCCACCCCATTCCTCCCCTCCCTCCTAGGGATGGACCGGGCCAGACCCGGTTTCTGTTCCGAGCCGGGCCCGGCCGGGCTTGGAATTTTTTGGGTAAGGCCCGGGACCAGCTCGGGAGTCTACCGGTATCGGGCCGGGCCAGTTCCGGGTTGGGCCGGGCTGGTTCATTTTTTCGGTTTTCTTATATATTCCAACCCTCACCCCCCAAACCCCTCCAAAACACCCAGCCTACCTACCATAGCCCCCCCCCCCCCCCAAAAAAAAAAACAAATAAGGCCCAGACCGGGCCCGAACCGGCCGAGCTGGTCCTCAAATATGCAGTTCCGGAACCGCCCCAATTAATCCCCCCGGGTCGGGCCTAGGCCCAGTACCGGTACCGATCCAACGGGCCGGGTCGGACCCGCACAGTGGCGGGCTGGGCCGGGTCCCGGGCCAGTCAGACCGGCCTCGGGCCAAGCCTACTCCCCCAACTCTACTCTTCTTTAGCCAAGCCACACCTTCCTCTTCAATCTTTCTTCTTTTTCTTCTTCAACCCAGCTCGCCCACCCCTCTCCTTCCATTCTTCTTCTTCTTCTTCTTTAGCTTGCCGTCCCCAGTCCACCCCCCTCAATTCAGTAATCCTATATTGATTCGATTCTAGAAGTTTATAGAAGAACCGATATAAGAATCGATAGTATTACATCAATGCAATTCTGATACGTCATCAGTTAACCATTAAGAAAATAAATATTTTAACTATCACTTTCTTTCATCGTTAAATCGCTTAACACATAAAAATATAATTTCAAATTAATAAATATATAACCATAAATACATATACAAGTTTTTACAAGACAGAAGTTAAAAGAAAACAATCACTAAGTAGAAAAGCTCGATTGCATTTATGCTTGTACCACATGTAGCAATGAGTGTAACGCTTGTGTAACGATTAATGTTCTTAATCATTAATAAAATGGCCAAAATTCTCGAGCATTTTTGAAACTTTGAGTTTTTTTTAATAAAAATAAATTTGAATTCTTATGCTTCATTTATTTTTGTAGAACTTTGTCTTGCTATTTGAATTACATTTTTTCATTTATTTATTTATTTATTTATTTATTATTTATTTATTATTTATTTATTTATTTATTATTTATTTATTTATTTATTTATTTATTTATTTATTTATTTATTTATTTATTTATTTATTTATTTATTTATTTATTTATTTATTTATTTATTTATTTATTTATTTATTTATTTATTTATTTATTTATTTATTTATTTATTTATTTATTTATTTATTTATTTATTTATTTATTTATTTATTTATTTATTTATTTATTTATTTATTTATTTATTTATTTATTTATTTATTTATTTACTTATTTATTTCTTATCGTACTCCGTATTATATAGAGGAAATCACTCACGGTAGGACTAAAACATAGCATTATTCTTAAAGTATGATTAAATGTTTGGTTTTTCTTAAATGGGAATAAATATTACATATTCACCCCTAATTTAATTAATTAATTAATATAATTAATTGTCCCTAGTTACCTCTCAGAACCAAAGCCATTTTGTTGGTGACGCGTCAATCCGATGACGACAGCGGGGAACTCCGGTGATGGATGCGGACAGGTCACAGGCATATCGGTAGCGACAATCTAGGTGAAAATTTTGACGACCAGCAGTGGCGGTCCGCATTTAAAAGTCTATGGACTTTTTGAAAGTCAATAAACTTATCCATGGATTTAAAAGTCCATAGAATTCATTCATAAAAAAATCTATGGATTTAAAAGTCCATTGACTTTTTTAAAAGTCCATGGATTAAAAAAAGTCCACAACAATCCAAATTGAATACACCCCTTTAGCTTACGGATTAGTGGAAATATGAGTTTAGCTCCATGGCCAGCATCAAGTGTAGGAGTGGAACTAGCTTACTAGCATTATGTTTGGTAGATGGAGGGGTGAATGCCTGGTGATGCATCCAGAATTCCCTTGCATTTTGGATAAAAATACAACTAACTACGGAGTATCATTTAACTTTGGTCATATTAATTATTATTATTAGTTCCTCGTTATCTTGCACATGCATTAACCATGTGCATTATCTCATTTTCTATTTTTGTTAAAACGAAATAACTAAAACTCAAGAACATCAGTAATTAATCAACATATTTTTAACAATTCTATTCATTGTTATATATTACCTCCGTTCCCCTAATATTGGAGCAGAAGGGAGTGACAAAATTATTAAGAAAAGTGAATTTATGTAGTTAATATTAACTGATAAAGTAAGAATAATTTAGAGTCACACAAACTTTACCAAATTTGATATGGGATCATTTTAGTGAGATTTCCTGAAAAGGAAAAATAAGCCAATATCGGCGGAACAGATGGAGTATTAATTATTTCCATTGGGTGATATGATGAATTGACGCTACCAATTACAATTTACAAGACTTTGATAATACTCCGTAATTTGTTTATACACTATAGATGATGATGGGTTTGATACTTTCATGTTGTTGAATACACTCGGATAATATGTCAATGTTTTCATTTAGACATTTATAGTCTCCGACCATATTAGAATATATACTGAAAAAAAACAGATCACACTTTAATAATACTCCGTAAATAGCGGTTAGCGGATTTAATTAGCGGGTAGTAAATAGCGGATTGAACAAATCAGTTCAGTACAAAGTACATACTAGATATAAAGAGACTGGACATGGTCATTTCAGACCTGATCAAACCAGTTCTGGCGAAATCAGATTTGAGATTTTCAATCCAAATGAAAATATATTCTTACACTATAAAGACAATGTTTTTGTTGTTGTTGTTGTCGTACACTATAAAGACAAGGTACACCCTGTAATTTATTAACCTCACAGGCTATGTAACGACCCGAGGTCACTGATTCACTGTTGTAACACACAAGTAAACAATCTACTCGGTATTAATCAGTAGACGGTAGTGGCAGTGGCGTAGCCAGGGGTGCAAAACGCACTGGGTCGCTACAAAGAATTTTTATAAAAATGTTAACATAATTTTTTTAGACTAATACGTAAACACTTTTTTTTAATTTCGGGTGGGCTGGGGCCGACCATGGCACCCAGCTCCGCCTATGTGGACGGGATAGTAAATACCATCAGGCATTCTAACTAACCCCTAAACTCCAGACCACAGAGGAGCCGCCTGTGAGCTCTCTCCTTCACTCTTCTCTGATGCATCATCGCTTATCTGCACTAAACCAATAGGCATTCTAACTAGTCCACAATGGTTGGGAAAAAGCTCTTCCATCTTTCGCAATGCAAATCCGGGATTCGGAAGCTGAAGACCTTGCTTGTATTCATCCTCCTCAAATATTGCCCGCTTCAATATATTCTGGTAGCTTGTGGTAGCATCCATTGGATGACCCCTAGCAATTGCAGCCTGCAGGAAAAGGTAAATTTGTGTTAATACAATGGTGGCCCGAACGTGTTCGGGATAACGCGAGTGAGAAAACAGATTTCAAAGTCTAACCTGGTGTTGAATGAAATAGATTGATTTATGTTTGGTAAGAACAAGTAACCCGCTGAGTACATTCGGGCCCCTTACCCCACGGTAGATAGGAGCCTTTGCAGGGGCAATGTTGTTGTTGTTGATTTCGAAGAGCAAGTAAATGTCATTTGGAAATTTTAAAATTTTAGATATAGTTGTGGGCAAGTGGGATTTAGGATGTGTGATTACAAGAAAAGACGTGTGATTTTATAATTTTGCATTCATATTCATTTGTAGATATTCATTTTCATTTTGCAAAATGACTAACTAAACTGTTTGCGCTTCTTTGTTATGAAGCAGCAGTCAGTCCATGCAATTTTGGACGCGATTTTCACTATGGGTCATCCGGAAACAAACTTTTTGTGCTTTAGTACAGGGGTAAGACTGCGTACATCTGACCCCCCCTTACCCCACCATAGGTGGGAGCTTTTGCGACACTGGGGTAAATGAAAATGAAATGAAAATGAAATTCATTTGTTTATTCAAATAACTATTGAAAAATACTCAGAAAATTAGTGTTATTCTTATGAGTTATGAGGTTATGTCATAATTACTAGTTCAATTTTATATTACAAAAGTCAATCAGTTGTCTAAGGTTTGTTCTTTCTCACAGCTTCCCTCTATTATTAACATCTATCCCATCACACTCCATTGACGGTCAAATCTAATGGAAATTATCTAAAATAGAGTCAATACATTTCTCCAATAATACAAGTCATGAATGTTGCTCGCATTCCTCCGTCTATGCCACTCTCAGAGACATTTCTTCCGTGAATAGCAAAGTTGGAGGATTAAAGACCAGCAGCCATATCATGGCTTATAATGATGATAAAGTGCTATGACTCTTAAGAGTGGGTTTTTAGTCAACCTCCATTACATTTGACCTTATTATAAAGTCATAGGGGTAACAGTAATTTTCCTCAACGAACAAAAACAAACCAATGGAAAATCTCTTCCTAGCAGTTTATGCCCAAATACCGTAAACGTGATTGAAGCTGTAACAGAAGCGACAACGTGTTGCGGTGGGCAAACCAAACATTCACAGAAAGCAAAGTTGGTTCAATAAGAAGTGAAAACCACCTTGAACATGCCACAACATCTGGAAAAACGTGGTGCTCGACCAAACAAGCACTCATGATTTCTTTCCTTGTTTAAATGTCAAGTAAGAAACTGATATTATTGAGAGAGTAAGAAATACATTAAGAACTAACCAAGTGATTCTTTCCCAAGTCAAAAAGCCAAAATCTCCAATCTTTTAGTACTCTCCCATTAACTCTGACGAGAATATTCTCCCAACAAGTGTGCTGAAATTCAACGTCGTCCAATCTATGCCCTACACCATTACCTATGGCTTTAACGAATGCCTCCTTCAAACTCCAGTATCTGCGAAAGTTTTGAAATGTCATGACAAACATCTCACCATGCAGACTGTAATTTATTTTTAACATCATTCTCAAACACATGAATAAAACTACGTGATTAGTGACCGTAGCCCATGCTTGACAACTAACATTTAACACCAACCATGCTTTTGAGCTGAATTGAGACAAAAGGGGGATAAATTTTGTTAAAAAGTTAATTAAGGCTAATATTAACTAGTCCATACATTAATATTCTTTACTATTGATATTAAAAGCATCATACCTATAAAGCTCCCCTAACATTTTATTGTCAGATCCAGCATTTAAAATGTTATTCCATTCCAATCCTGAGAAGTAGACTGAGAAGCATTGAATAAATTTATTGGGCGATTCTTTCTCAGGGATGAAATGGTCAACAATATCTAGCCCAACGAGGCACATTGGTTCAGAAGCTATTGCAACATAATCACCTTGATGAGAGACATTGAAGTTGAAGTTTGGGAAGTCCACAGCTTCACTTCCAAGTACCTTAAGAATAAGGAGAGCAGGACAATTAGATGCATCAAGAATCCAAGATAGTCCCGCGTCGTGAAAGGGTGGGACTTAAGAGCTATGGTGTGCAGACATGGAAAATGACCAGGACGGGGAATAGTTCATTCATATACTTTCCATAATGAAAAAGACACATTTTTTAAATGGGGGATTAAACAGTGCACCCTTATTTTTCATCCAAATTTGAGTTTGCGCCGCATTTCTAAAATCAATCATATTAGTACCCTGACGCTTAAAGAATCTGTTAAAAACTGGGTGAAAACTTCAATTTGGAAGAAATCGTGGGGTGTAAATTTTGACTCTTAAGGTGTAAATAGCAATGATTTTAAAAATGAGGGAAGCAAACTCTAATTTCTCCTTTCTTTAAAATGGCCGAAAGTGAGGTGAGCTAGATAAAGATATTTTTTTAGCTAGATAAAGATCAAAACATAAGACATTGTATTAAATTATGCCTAACTCATCTCTAAAGGATTCTCACGAGGTGAGGTTTGCCTCATACATATACTACCTCTGGACACCCGACATTGCCAAACTTGTGTTATTTGTGAAATAAGAAAAGTAAAAATTGTTTAATTCGGTTTGTGCAGAGTATTGAGAAATAAACAAAATCACAAATTATTTACTTTAAAGGCAAAGTGGTAAAGTTTGTATAGACAATTCGTCTCGAAATACAAAAGTTGTCTGTATACAAACAACTCTGTCTGTGCGGACAAACAAAGTGTGAATGGTGTACACAAAAAGGTGTACACCAATCATTTTCGCATTATTAGATCCAGATATCTTAGACATCCAATGTGGTACAGAATGGCCTGAGCACGATTAATTAAGCACCATAAAGCCATACCAGATATGGTTTTCCCTCAACAGTCCGCCTAATACATATCTCATTGTATGGGATTCCCAATACATGATGTACCAAAGAATACTGCAACAATCTGCTCACTAGAGCTCGTTTGCGATCTCCCACTTTGACAAATCTAGTTGATAACATACAACATTTGTTAAATCCATAACAAAAGATAAAGATTTCTTAGATATCACTATTACACCCAAAACTGAGTAACAGCCACCATCAAGATCAGAATTGTAATAGTTAATAGTTAATATAGATTAGGAATACCTATGTATTTTTGGCAACTTTTATTATTATAAATATAACTGTCAGGACCCTCATTAGGGTAACCTGTTCCATTATTTCACATGATATCAAGAGCTTAAAAATTTCAAAAACCCTAGATTTTTTCCCCGCTCACTGCGCCGCCGCTATGCAGACTAGCGCCGCTACCTCCGCTGCAGATGTCGTCGGGACGACCAGCGATGCCTACACCATGGCTGACTCTTCGTCCCCAGCTTCTGTCTCGATCACCATGCCTCTCTCCATGGCTGACTCCTTCACTGGCGCCACGACGATGTCTGTCGTGTTGCAGCCGGCCGCAACGTCAGAACTCATCCCGAACTCAGGTCTATGGTCCTCTCCGACGCCATTACCGTTGTTCCAGAGTTTACCGTCCAGTTTTCCGTGGCAGATTCCCAGACTCGAGCCCATGCCGCCTCTCACCTCCTCGCCGGCAACACAGGGGTCACAATTCTATGGTCCGACTTTTACCGGCTCCCCGGGAATCACTAGACCACCAGAATCTTCTCTCTTTGTAACTGTCAGGACCCTCATTAGGGTAACCTGTTCCATTATTTCAAAAATTGAGCTGCCAGCTCCACTCTAGATTGTATGAGCAATCAGATCAATCCCTTATCTAAGGTTAAAGGTGTACTTAGAATTTATAATATTCAAAGGAGTCAACTTTGCAGTCTATACTCTAAAATTTTCAATAATCTTGCTCCGAATTAAATAAGTATCAACCAAATCCGACACATACATGGGGGAAAGAGAAAGAATTGCAGGTTACCTAGTGATGGAAGAATGCTCATGCTGCGGAAGAAAATTCATGGCGAAGGAAAAGGCCTGGGGAGTTGGCTCCCACACTGAGATGTCAACTATCCATCTCTGAACTCCCTTTTCCAATTCCATTTTTCCTCTCAGTCTTCCATCAAGCTCTATCTGCCTCTCAGTCTTCCATGTGAATTCAAGCTCGGTATTCTCTTTGTTCTGAACTTATCGGGAAAGACTATGGGTTGCGGTTCGCAAATTAGACCGTACAGCCGGCTGTACATAGGGCATGGTACAGCCGGGTTTTTTTGTAAATTATTCCAAGTTTGAGTCTAATCTTCGTCCTTCCCAGCTGTTTCGTCCTCTTCTCCCAACTTTCTTTCCTTCATCTGTTTCGTCTCTACCGCGACTCTCCCAGCTGGTTTCCGTCTGGTCATCGATCAATTGGAGTAAGATTTCTGTTGCCTTTTCTTTGCTTTTTATTATTTTATTCATTTATGTTTTCTTCCAATTTTGTATTGCAATGATAAATTTTTGTTTTTGCTTGTTTCCATCTTCTATCTTACTTTCGTTCTTCTTTTACAGTTTCTTCTCTTTGATGTGCTCCTCTTTATTATTTACTTCCGTTGATTCTTGTGCAGGTTTAGTTTTTTGAAGTTGTTCATTCAGTTCAGGTTATTGTCTTCTGAATTGCAGGTTTAGGTTTAGGTTATTTTCTTCTATCGTAGGAACAAAATAATATTTTGTTCATTCAATTCATATTTTTTTGTTGTAGCATTTGGGTTTATCCAAGATTTGATGCTATGTCTAGTTCTGGAGGTATTTTTTCAAGAAACACCTTCAATATATTTGATTTGTTTAGTTGAGTATTGCTTTACTGAGTATTGATCATCTGTACTTTGCTTTTGATTTGTCATCCCCTGTCAGATGGTATTTCTTTTAGTGGCAAATTAATAGAAGATATTGAGGCGAGAGGCGAACTTTTTGAAGTTGATTGTCGTAATGTTTTCTATCTTTTTAATTTACATAGTGTTGTTTTTTTGTCTGTGTTGTTTACTTTGAGATTTTGTTAGTTATTTGTGCATTTTTTATGTCTTCAGATTACTTGCATTCTGCTGATACCTTAAGTGAAGAAATTTTGTCAAGAACTGAATCTGTTCCTGTCCTACCAAGTATTGTGTTTTCTTACATTTTATTACTTTGTTAGGTTTTTCCCTATTCAAATTTTTAATTTTTTTTTTTGCAGTTCAAAATTCTTCTACTTTTGTTCATGTAGATCAAACTGATGAGTCTGTGTGTTCTGAAAATATATGTGTTAAGGAAGCAGACATTTCTGATTTATTGGGTAAAACAGTTTTTTCGGAAGAAGAGGCATTTGATCTATATAATGACTACGCTTATAGAATTGGATTTGGTGTTCGCTATTCTACTTTGAGAAAGAGGAGTAACGGTGTTGGTTTTAGAGGAAGGGAATTTTGTTGTACGAAACAAGGTATGAAAAGAAACAAAGGTGTTGTAGGTAAACAATATACAAAAGTTGATAGACGAACTGGTTGCAAGGCAAAAGTTTATTTTGAGTTCAAATCTACAGGTGAGTTGGTTGTTGTTAGGCATGATATGGTTCATAATCACCAGTTTTGCCCGGAATCTTTAGTTCATCATGTTAGATCTCATCGTGCTGTTTCTTCAAGCGAGTTGGAGTATTTGCAACATTTAAAAAATAAAGGAGTTAAGATTGCAGATGGTTTTCGTTGCTTGCAAGCTGAAGCGGGTGGATCTCCTTCTGTTGGTTTTCTTTTGCGCGATGCTTATAATGAACTGACAAAAAAGTCTAAGAAATCTTTTGACGGTTGTGATGCAAATACATTGATTAATATTTTTAAGAACAGGCATGCAAATGAAGAAGACTTTTTCTATTCTTTTGAGGTTGATTTGGATGGTTCTCTTTGTAGCTTTTTTTGGAGAGATAAGAAAATGAGAGAAGATTATACTGCATTTGGTGATTTAGTTATTCATGATACGACTTATCGGACCAACAAATATGATATGATTTGTGGTCCATTCGTTGGCATTAACTCTCATACTCATAATTGCATGTTTGGTTGTGGTTTTTTATTGAATGAAAGAATTGAGTCGTTTGAATGGCTTTTCACTACATTTTTGCAATCTATGGGTTCTGTTCATCCAAGAACTATTATGACAGATCAATCGGCCGCTATGTCTGCTGCAATTTGTAAAGTATTTCCTCTCTCGAAACATCGTCTGTGTGTTTGGCATATCATTGAAAATTCAAAGAAACATATACGTGACTTGAGGAATCAAGAGGGCTTCTTAGATTTGTTTGATCATGTTCTGAAATTGTGTCACACCGTTGCAGAATTTGATCATTACTGGAATAGGTATCTTTTATTATGACTACATTTTGTTTTATCTTTTCATATTTTTATTAGTACTGATTTTATGAGCATTCTGTGTGTTAACAATGAGTAACAGGTTGTACGAATTGATTAGTTTTGTAAATTCATTGTCTTTTATTTTGTAGAATGATCTCTGAATACAATTGCTCTGATAATCCTTGGTTGAAGAAACTATATGAGATGAAAGAGAAATGGTGTCGAGCTTTTTCAAAAGAGTTCTTTTCAGCTGGAACCTTGTCTTCACAACGAAGTGAATCCACAAATCATTCTTTGTCTAGAAAAATGAATGCGAACTCGTCTCTTTGTGACTTTTACCATTTTTTCAGTGAGGCTGTCAGTGAATGGCGAAGTAATGAACGAAAAGATCATCAACGTTGTTGGGATGGTTATCCTGAAATTGCTATTCCCTATGTTGGTTTGTTACATAAGGCATCCAAGGTTTACACGATTGATGCATATAAACTCTTTGAAAAGGAATTTATGAGAGGTATGTCTCTTAAATATGAAGTTAGACATCATCAAGGTTCTTTAATGGGTTATTTGGTATGGATGCCTCAAATAGATCAGTTTTCTCATTGGGTTTCCTATGATATACCAACACATTTTGTTAGTTGTTCGTGTAAAAAATTCCTAGAGGTTGGTATTTTGTGTTGTCACATTCTTCGTATATATCATATTAACTGTGTGGAAGTTGTTCCGGATTGTTATATTCTGAAAAGGTGGACTCGTACAGCAAAGTGTCACGTAAATGAAGAAACTCATGATGTAGCTGGTACTTCTACTGTCTTGCCTTCTGTTTGGAGACTGCAAATGCAAAAGAAATATCACAAGCTGTTATGCTCTAGTGATTCAAATTTTGCAGCAAGGAAGTTATGTGAAGACTCTTTTAAAAGTTTGAAAGTTGCTATTCAAGATCAAGTTGGAAGCATTTATTTCTCAGATAGTGACTCCACCTCTGTTGGTGCGCCTTCAGCAATCTCTAATCCAAAAACTTCAAGGAAGAAGGGTGAAAGAAATGTGCGTCGCAAAAGTATTATTGAAGTCAAAACAAATCAAGCTAGAGGAAAGAAAAAGTTACGTCAAATGAGCACATCAGTCACTGATCATGCAACTTTGTAATCAGATTATTATATACTATTGTATTTGTCTTCTTCTATTTAGTTTCTGTTTTTTTAAAACATATGTGTAATCTTATTACTCAACGTCGTTGTTTTAATGTTCAAAAGAAACCATATGCGTGCTCATATATATTAATATTTATAATTTACTCTTATCCGTTTCTAGTACTCTTTTATTCTCTGTTGTTATATTTTTTTCACACTTTATGTTGAACGTTTACCGAATACACTTCATTCTGATCAACAAATCCTTTGAGTATTCCTTTTTTATGTAATGAACATTAATTATAAAAGTTATGAGTGTGTTTAGCAAAGTTCATATGATTCAAACATTAGTATCCATTTTGATATATTTTTTTTAAATTGAATTTACTTCCAGTATTATATCTGCCTTACTAATACTTAAAAAAATCAAACGTTTTTCATGTAAAACTAATTAAAGAAAATATTATATATTGTCATACGTATTTGTGTTATCATACTCAACTTTTGTGTTGTAATGTTCAAAGAAAACATTATCCGTACTCATATATATGATTATATATATATATATCAGGTATATATAATTGACTTGTATCTGTTTATAATATGTACTCTATTATTAACATCTACTGTTATTTTTTTTTAACTCTTTGTTGAACATTTATATATTCCACCTTGTTCTCATTAAAAAATGTTTGAGTATTCTACACACTTGTAATGAACATTATTGAAGAAGTTATGACTATGTTTAGCAAAGATATGTCATTAAACATTGGTATCCATTCTCATACATTTTTTGCTTGAATTTACTTCCGGCATTATATTTAACTTATTAGTACTTTAAAAAAACAAACACTTTTATATTAATTATAAAAGTAGTTCACACTCAATGTTTATACATTTTAAGTTACTTCTAATCCTCAGATTGAGTATATTTTTATTTAAAATGAGCATGTAATGTACTAGTAATGATCATTGCCATAAACGTGAAGTGTCTCTTTCATCATAAAAACACATGTCCAGTACATTCACCATCGAACATTAACAAGAACAAAATATGTCTTTTGCCAACAAAAACATAGAAGCATTTGAAGTTCATATTAAACTAAGTTAAACATAAGTATCATTAGAAGAACTACATTTCCTTCACTTTGTTCATCAACTCCATTCTAACTTCATTCCTTTGAAATGTCAACATCTTGTGCAAGTATTTAAGCCTCAAGACCTGTATGTGCTTTTCCTGCATGATTATTTGTGTTAGTATTATCATACAATATTATTTATTTATTAGTAATATGTCATTAAATCTTTGATTAAAAATAAAAAAGTACTTTACATGTTCTTTTTCTAGGCCACAATCCCAGTCTGTCTCTCCATTAAAAGTTTCCATGTGTCTCATCAGATAGACACCATCATTAGCTTTGTTTTTTTTGTTTCTCCATGCCATTTTGACTACTTCTGGCTTCATATTCTTCACTTTGTCAGCATGCTGATGTTTTTCTTCTTTAAGCCATTTAAGTACAGCACTTTTCTGTAAATAAAAACATTTACACATTAAATATGTTCAGATGCTCATTTTTTATAAACAGTATACACATTTTAACAAACAAATAATTTTGATTTATTACTTACCAGTTGGGTTGGTTGAGAAAGGTACTTCATTCCTATTGCTATTTCCTTGTCACAGTTATCAATGATTAAGAACTTCATGTACTTCATATCAAAGCACATTAGGTAGTAGCTACCATTACGTTCAGCTGGGAAGATAAACAAGTCCATGTTCTTCACTTTCGGCAATGCCCTTTTGAATTGGATCCTTGTAGCTTCAATGAATCTCTTGTTTCTGGTTGCTGCAGCACTAATCTGATTTTCCTCCAACACTCTCTGTAAACCAATTGTATAAGATATAATTTTCAAATTCAAATAAAAATATTTAAAATCATAAATCTTACACATGGTGTTGTTGTGAATATCAATCTATTCCTTGATTGAGTGCTTTTCAGACTCTCAAATTCATTCAAAATCATCGCCCATAAATCTATCAACAGTGGACTGACTATGGAATCAATGTTCAAACTCTCCATCTCCTTTCTTGAAACAATCAGATTTCCATCTTTATAGAGCACAACCCTATTTATTTTAAGCAATTGTCAGCTAACTATTAATTAAATATTTTAGACAAGCAGTTTTCAAATATGTAGTTACTTACGATTTATCAGAGTTCTCTTCAAACACAAATTTAGCTAGTTTGACTTCTTCAGTAGTTGTTCCTGCCTTCATTTCTGTAATTCTGATCACGTATGGAGACTTGAGAGCAGGGCCAGGCATTACTTGTCTTTTTTCTCTTTCCACATGTGCACCACATTGGCCCTCTCCTTCAAAACAAGCTTGCTTTCCCTTTTCAGATGCCTTTATTCTATCATGCTCTTTTAATTCAGTCACAGGAATAGCTTCACTTGCGTTTATTATCACCTCCTCTTCATTATCTACCTGAGCTTCATTGTGTTGCTCATCAAGCTCCTCTTGATGCTCAGCAACTGCATATACATGCTCATCTCTCTGTTCTTCATCTTCCTGGCCACCTGCATGCTCATTTGACTCTTGTGAAAGCAGTGTGAAACTGGGCTTTTCGTATTGTATTAATGTAGGCCTATCATTCCTTTTTTTCTGAGCTTTTTCAATAGCTTCAACTGCCTTTAAAACCTCTTCAGTCCAAAACTCATCATCAGGAGTCATTCTTATTTCTTTTTCAGTTGTTTGTGGCTCTGTTGAGTATGTGTTGAAGAGTCCATGCACTTTACCTAGCAAAACCTTCATTTTTTCATCATCAGGCAACACCTTCGCAGCTTCTTGAAACTTTTCATCAAAGTTTGCTATGCTATCTGCCAAATGCTTTGCTGCTGAAGCGAATTCCTTCATGATATCCTGTATAAATCATATGAGTATTAGTGTATTACTAAAATTTTCATTCAGTGTTATTTTATTTTATTTTATTTTGAGTTACTGTATTGTGTTAAGGACATATAAAATGATGCACAACAATTTTTCTATGCTTATATGATAATTTTAGAGTAACTCAGTTTTTCCACTGTTCATATTTATTACTCAATTTAATTTAATAATATACTCATGTATAATTTATATGATACTCAAGTGTATAAAGAGTACATTATTTGCCTTACCTTATCTGCTTGCTCACTGCATTCTTCCTCGTTTTTCTTATTCTCTTCATTCTGAATCAGATTTGGAATTGTAAGAGTTCCTTGATTTGGTTCATCTATGTATCCAAATCCAAACCCTCCACTTTCTATCTCTTCCTTTTCCCTTTTGTTGAGATTCTGAGTTGTCCATCCAACTATAGATGGCAAGCCTCTGTCTACTTTCCTTCCTTTGAATACCATATTGTCAACATAAAACACCTAACATTTTTCAATATTTAGAATTGTGCATTACCATACCATAATTGAGTAATAAAATGATTACTTTGAGTATTGAAATTATATAGTTTTTAACTTACAATCAAAAAGAGAAGAGGTCCTGGGAACTGTCGTGCTCTGCTTTTATTCCAGTAGTCCTTTGATTCAATCAATGTCTGCAAAGCATAACTGCACCAATTAAAATTCTTTATTTGTGACTCATCATCCAGTGCTTTGAGTATGCTTTGATTGACAAAGCAATTCTGCTTTCCTTCAATTAAACAAGTCACCAGGAGAACCAAGAAATTTTTTTTGAACCAGCCTCCAGCTTGTTTATTTTTCTCCAATAGATCTTTCAGTTCACCAGTCCTCACAAGTCCTTTATCACTACTGAACTGTGCTCTCCAATCAGCCACCATCTCTGCTGTTTTTTCACCTTGAGTATCTATCAACCTTTTCACATCCAAGTTTCCCTTTGGAAATCCCATTGTGTAGTGTATTGCATCTTCAGTGACACGCAATTTCTCGTTCTTTGGCAAATGCAATGAAACACTCCTGCTATCAAACCTGTCCACAACCCAATATGCCAACTGCATTGGCAATTGTTTGATTTTTAAGTGTAGTATTGGGCCAAACCCCATGTCTACCACTTCTTCCTTCTGTTCTTCAGAGAGGGATGTGATTACCTCAGTTAGACTTCTAGGAGACATTCTTGACCATAGCTTTGGAAGGTTATCATCACCCTCCTTTTCTGTTTCCTCATCTTCATCTTCTTCTACGTCGTCTTCTTTCTTTTTCTTCAACTTTTCTTTATTCTCTCTCTTTGCTACCACTTTACTTTTATTTCCAGTTTTCGCAACTTCTTTTTCCTTGTTATCACCTTCTTCTGATGTTTGCGATCTTGTTATTCTTTTGCTTGAGAAGACTTGCATTGCACTTTTCTCAACTTTTCTTGCTTTTGATGTTTTGCTCTTTCTTCTTTTTTCACCACTCTCTTGTTCACCCACTTCTTCTATCAATGCTTGCATTAAAAGCTGTTTCTTTTCTGCTGCAGTATGTTGCTCAACTTCTTCTAAAGCATTGACATCTGCTGTAGTGCCATCATCATTTTCTTTCTCATTAACTCCCTCCACATGCTCATATTCTTCAATATATTTTTCAGCTTCCTGAACAGTATCTTGATGAACTTGTTCATCACTTTTTTCTTGAACTGTATTCTGACCTGGATCCTCATTCTGCTTGAAACTTTCTCCATCAACAGCATCCTCATCTGCAGCTGTATGTTGTTTAACTTCTAAAACCTCTTCAGATGCTTTTCTTTTCTTTTGAACACCTACCTTCTTTTGTTGCTTCAGGGCTTTTGAAACTTTTGGACTTTTTAATGCTTTCCTTTTTGGTATTTTACGCAGGACTGGAATCTCTGTTACAACCTTTGTTGGTGGATTTCTGCATTAAAAAATCACAACATTAGTATTGTAATAGTTAAATGATGCTAATACTTTATAATGAGCTTTTTCAGAAATTTCATGCAACAGTGTTTGAGTACTATCTACAAGATGATGAGTACTATATCAGTTTTGAATTAATACTATTATGAGTTATACCATTTTAGTTCAAAACTAAAAACACTTTAACCATTTTCATATTTCATAATCACATTGAACTTTGTTCCCAGTAATCATGAGCATTATACAGTTCCAAATGAGTATTAAATCAGTATTCAGTGAGCATTTAACACGACAAGCAAAATGTGAAATCTATGTCACATAATACATTACTTCATAAAAAATAAAATAAGAAGTATATGAGTATCAAAAAGCATATGATGAGTACTGTAACAGTTTTCATACTATCATTACTTTTGAAATAACCAAATAAGAATATTCTTCTGCCATTTTCATAATCACATTGAACTTTGTTCCCAGTAATTATGAGCATTATACAGTTCCAAATGAGTATTAAATCAGTATTCAGTGAGCATTTAACATGACAAACAAAACGTGAAATCTATGTCACATAATACATTACTTCATAAAAATTAAAATAAGAACTATATGAGTATCAAAAAGCATATGATGAGTACTGTAACATTATTCATACTATCATTACTTTTGAAATAACCAAATAAGAATATTCTTGTGCCATTTTCATAATCACATTGAACTTTGTTCCCAGTAATCATGAGCATTACAGAGTTCCAAATGAGTATTATATCAGTATTCAGTGTAGCATTTAACACGACAAGCAAAATGTGAAATCTATGTCACATAATACATTACTTCATAAAAATTAAAATAAGAACTATATGAGTATCAAAAAGCATATGATGAGTACTGTAACATTTTTCATACTATCATTACTTTTGAAATAACCAAATAAGAATATTCTTCTGCCATTTTCATAATCACATTGAACTTTGTTCCCAGTAATCATGAGCATTATACTGTTCCAAATGAGTATTAAATCAGTATTCAGTGAGCATTTAACACAACAAGCAAAACGTGAAATCTATGTCACATAATACATTACTTCATAAAAATTAAAATAAGAACTATATGAGTATCAAAAAGCATATGATGAGTACTGTAACATTTTTCATACTATCATTACTTTTGAAATAACCAAATAAGAATATTCTTGTGTCATTTTCATAATCACATTGAACTTTGTTCCCAGTAATCATGAGCATTACAGAGTTCCAAATGAGTATTATATCAGTATTCAGTGAGCATTTAACACGACAAGCAAAACGTGAAATCTATGTCACATAATACATTACTTCATAAAAATTAAAATAAGAACTATATGAGTATCAAAAAGCATATGATGAGTACTGTAACAGTTTTCATACTATCATTACTTTTGAAATAACCAAATAAGAATATTAGAATATTGTTCAACCATTTCAAAATTTCATAAGCACATTGAACTTTATATGCAGTAGACATGAGCAGTAGAGATTACAATATGAGTATTATACAGTAACAATTATTTGCAGTACACATGAGCATTAGAGATTACAATATGAGTATTATACAGTAACCAACATGTCAAATCTATATCACATATTTCGTTACTTTATAAACATTTAAATAAGAAATATATGAGTATCACAAACCACGTGATGAGTATTGTACCAATTTTAATGTAATATCATTTCATAACAAGCATCTTCTAAACACAATTGATTGCAGTAAACATATTGACGCTTATATGTACTTAACAAACACCTGTTGTCTTATTGTACTCGAAATATGAGCACAAGAGGGGCGGTAATGATCATTATAACATTTTAATAATCAATTTGACTTTTATCTAAATTATACTCTGTATATGTTTTTTCTCCAAAATAACGAACATGCAATTTTATTAACATAATGAGAACTAAGAAACAAAATGCAAATGTATATGAATGAGTATTACATACTTTTCAGATGCTTCAGCACTTTCGTGTTCTTCATGTGCATTTGAAAGCATGTTCCATTCTGAAACGAGATCCATAGCTCTGTTCGTTCTTAGTACTCAAAACCTAACACTTCGGAACTCAGATCTCCTTCCCCGTCTTCTTCTAGCTCGTAAAGCAACAACTCCGATTAACTGGTCACCATTAATGTCGAGATACAGATATGGCGGTGTAGTTGGGAAGAGTTGTGTCTCGTGCGAAGAGATTGCGGTTTTTGAGAGATTTGCAGTTGCTTTTTGTTTTTAAAAAAAATCGTTCATGTATTTTATTTTACCGCAACCGGGTATTTTCAAATTTTGGGCTTTTGGAGCACGGGCCAACAGTTAAGTAATTTAAAAACACTAAAATTGGGCCGGCTGTACGGTGCTCACCGTACAGCCGGATGTATGGTATACGACCTCGTTGCGGTTCAGGTACCCGGACAATGTTTTTTCGGTTACTAAGAAAAATAAATAATATTACCTCATTCCCCACACAAGAGAAGGTGGCACGGTTATTAATAAAAGTGGGTTTATGTGATTGATGTTGAATTGATAAAGTATGAATAAAGTAAAAATGATTTAGAACCACACAAACTTTATCAAATAAGGTATGGGACAATCTTAGTGGGACGGACCAAAAAAATAAAATGAGACAATCATAGCGGGACGGAGGGAGTACTCGCTAAATGCCATTATTATGTTTTGTTCTATTTGTGTTTAAAAATCTGTTTATTCAGTTTGGAAAATTTTGTATCAAACTAAAATAATTTGTGATTTGGTTTGGTTTCGGTTCGATTCGGTTTGAAGTTCAGTTTATTAAAGTGAAAAGTATTAGGTTCAATTTAGTTCGATTTGATTCGGTTGCTTATGTTCATTATTTTATTTGATCAAGTTCTATATTTTGGAGTTAAAAAATGAAAGTAGTAATCTATCTCTTCATCATTTATTTATTACTCCCTCTAGTCCTAACTAATCTTCATATACTTTCCCTTTTAGGCCGGTCCAAATTGAACTTTACACTTCCATTTTAGGAAAGTTTTTTTTTATCTGAAATACCCTTTATATCTCTGACCATTTACTCCCTTTGTTCGGCCCACCCCTGCCACTTTTATTCGCCTTATGCGCTCCAATCTCTTTCTCTTAAACCTTCTCTCTTTGTTCTTTGTCTCTCTGTCTTTCATCGCCCTCCACCGCTCCTAACCTCCATCGCCACCCCATCCTTCAAACCTCACTTCCATCGCCACCCATCCTTCTCCTCACATTGATCGTCACCCCTCGTAGTTTTGACCTCCATCTCAATGGATCCCAAATCATCACCCCACGAAAACCCTAAGGCGGCCCAGCTTCCCAAACCCACACACGCTACGAAGATTGGACCCTCACAATCCGAGAGTAAGTCGTGTGTAGATCCAGAAGTTGAAGCTTCACATGCAAATGCAAACCACGACTCAGTTCCGTTAAGAAATACGAATCCAACCTCGTGTCTGATACATTCGACGGTTTGGAAAGCCTGGATTCAGAAGATGGAGACGAAGTGAACTCGAGGCCGACGACCCTAAATGATGGAGAAGAGAGCGGCGGCGGCGGGGAAGATGACGACGACGACGACGACGACGGTGGGGAAGACGACAACAACCAACACACTCCTTTAAGGACTGTATTCTCTGAACCTTTACTCTTTGTGTCTTTGATGTTGTATGGACTTATGATGATTGAGGGGGTGTTGTGTTGGGCCATTGCATGATGATTGAACGGTTTGTCTTGTTGTGTAACTAATGATGATTTAAGGGTTGTGATTGATCTGTGATGAGTGTTTGTGTGTCTGGGAATGCTATTAAGCTGGGTGCAGGTCTGCTTGCCTAAGATATGTAATATGTGGTCATGCTTATATGTGTTTGCCTGCGCTAAAATACGTACCCTTCATGAAAATATGATCACTCTATATTGATTCTGAGGTGTGTTAGCTTAGGATGTGTAACCTCTGAGCATGATTATCTGTGTTTGCTTATAGTAAGTCACATGTGATGAATCTGTGATGATTCTGAGGTGTGTTTGCCTATGTTCAAAGACCTGTGATGTAAATTGTGATTACTCTGTATCCATTTTGAGGTGTGGTTGCTTAGGATCTGTAACCTGTGATCATGATTATATGTGTTTGCCTATAATAACTCACTTGTGATGCAAATGTGATTATTCTGAGGCGTGTTAGCATAGGATATGTAACCTATTATCGTGATTATCTATGCTTGCCTATGCTACAATACATGTGATGTAAATTTGATCAATAAGTGATGATTTTGTGCATGGATTGGCTATGGATGTGTAACCTGTGACCATCATTAGTTGTGTTTGCCCACAAAAAATCACTTGTGATCAATATGTGATGATTCTGAGGTGTGGATGCCTAACATATCTATCATGTGGTGATTGTGATGTGTGTTTGGCTATGCTAAAAGACCTGTGATGCAAAATGTGATGATTATTTATTCATTTTGAGGCCTGCTTGCCTAAGATATGAAACCTTGTAATCATGATAACCTGTGTTTGCCTATGTTAACTCATTTGTGATGCGCATGTCAAGAATATGTGAGGATTATGAGGTGTGTTAGCATAGGATATGTAATCTATTATCATGGTTATCTGTGTTTGCCTATGCTACAATATTTGTGATCATGATTAATTGTGTTTGCCTATGGATGTGTAACATGTGAGCATGATTACTTGTGTTTGCCTATAATAACTCACATATGATGAATATGTCATGATTATGTGGTGTGTTTATACACAAGTGTACATTAAAATATGCTTATATTGCTTATGTTTAGAAAACAAATGTACACTAGCAGTGGGGGCACATTAAAAACTTGTACTCTCATGCCTTTGATTGTACATACAAAAATAGTACACCCCCACATTACCTATAAGCTTAGTGTACTCACAAAAAGGTTCAAAAAGTATACCAAGTAGGGTATTTACTTCACACTTGAAGATATTGTTCGTTTCATGTATGAATTGAGTCCCTTGACTTGTATGTGTGGAGTTTGCTGCCATATAGCCATCCATGAATGCCTTAGTTGTTTGATACAAGTCAGGGGAGATCTGGACATTTTTTGGCAGTAACCTTTGTCTTTGTAACTTGTCCTTCCCCACATGTTTGAGCTTGAAATTGTTGCCTCCTTCGTGCTTTAAGATTTCTTCCATGACATATTGATAGCACAAAAACACTCTGTGTTGGTCCAAAATAGGACGCTCGTAGGCTTTTCTAGGAAATCTACGTAAGAACACTTAAGTAAGAATCAAGAAAGTAATAACATGAATAAAGAAAGTTGCTAAAGAGTTTGATAGCCAAGAATAAAATCTTGAATTCGCCCCCATAATCTGAATTACAACCCGCCTTTTATAGGCGTATACAAATCGTAACCGTTATCGATAATAATAACTAATTGAGTACAACATTAATACGGAATTAAATATATAATTAAATAGTGCATTAATTGCTTGACCGTTACTATTCCTTGATGGCAGGTCGGCCGGACTGGAAGGCTCCCCGCTGGGGTGGTAGGCAGGCTCCAGGTTGTGGACTTGGATCAACGGGTCCAAGTTCGGGGCTTGGGCCGATTAGGCTCTGGGCCTAGTCCCATTACTCCATCACGAGTCCCTCACTCCCTTAGTTGAGTAGTAGACTCGACTAAGAGGGAGTAGTCCAAGTCAGCTACTCTTCTCCGAGACTGGAAGATCTTCGCCCTTGTCCATGTCGGGGAGATGCCTCATTAAAAACATTCACCAGGAAAAAACCCAATGGAAAAAAAATCTTAATGAAGGGAAAAAGAGTACACCCGACGCCCCCAAGATGAAGCAAGAGGTGAAATCCTCAACCTTTATTGCAATGGTCGCCATTTGTGAAGATGATGACTAAAACTGTTCTTCTCGTCGGGCTCGAACTCATCAGGCTCTCTTTCGTTCAGTCGTGCCTACACATAAAAGCAACAGTTGTAGAATAGAGCATTTGGTCTGGTGTCGAACCACATTCAGTGAGTAAGTGAGTCGGACTCACTACTCAAAAAGAGTGACATCAAGTTCCCAAGTTAGGCCTCAACCTAGCCTCTGAAAGAAAGATTGAATCCGCGAGTAAGTGAGTCGGAGTCCCCACTCGAACGGAAGAGCGTGACTCTAGGCCCAAACAAGAGTTTAACTCGCCGCCCGAGGTTAGTAACTCGAACCCGCAAGTAAGAACTTTTGAATGGGTGACTCGTCCCCCGAGGTCGGAGTGTGATGCACTAGGAAGAGGTAAGAGCACACAAGAACTCGTATGAAGTCAAGAGTGTGTTGTATTAACATTTATATTGGAGCTTATTAATCGTCACACCCATATGACGTGACCCGGTGGCGCGAGTGTGTGTGCTCAACCAGTGTACGAGTGTGCGTGCTCGTCCGGCGTACTTGAGTGATCACATTTCATAAGTCTGTTGTTCAATGTTAAAATTAAACACACTTAACAAGAATAAAATCAATTAAATCACATTTCTTTTTAAATGTTTCAATTTATGATTTTTTTTAATCAAATATGTAGTACTATGTATATTTTTGGAATTGTTAATATACGAAAATAAAGGAGTACTTAGCTTTTAGTGGTTGTGTCACCCATTCAAATCAAATACGGAATTTGACCTCGTCAATTGTAAAATAGCTCTTGATTAATGCCTTCAAGCCATCCCTTCAAGAGAAACATATCCATACATCTCCATAACATGTCAATTATCTTGCAGCGATTTTTGGTGACTTGGTTGACTGGACCCCCTTCTGTTGCAATGATTCCAGGGAGTAATAGTGTGTTTTGTCCTATAGGTTCAGTTTCGGATTCTCCTTCAGGAAGTGGGTCCGCACTAAGTTGAGAAGAAACATTAATGGCAGATGATTCCATTAAAGAAGGAAGAAAGTAGATGAAGATTTCTATTTTTAGAAGTAGTTGGATCTCTTAAATTAGTGTAATGAATGTATTGTATTTATAGCTAGAAGTAGTATTGTAGTTGTAAAAGTTGAAGTTTGGAGGGAAGCAAAAAATTGAAATATTCCCCCCCTTTTGTTGAACGAAAATCCCTCTCTCCTCTTGATGGCAGCAGTCACTTCGGTCATATTGAATGGAAAGCTCACAACTTTTTTTTTTACCAGTGGGCGTAGCTCATCTGGTAGCGAGGGAGTGCCACAAGGGTTAGGTCTCGGGTTCGAATTCCGGCAACTGCGATGAGGGGTTACTATGCTGAAAAATGCATAGGGCCTCTGCAAGTACCGGGGACAGAGCCCCACTCTCTATCTGTCAGATTGTGATTATAGTCCAATTTACATCCTCCCATCGTACCGTCCGGTCGGTGTTGGGGGGCCCTCAGGGATGGGGTGTCATCCTTTTTTTCACAACTTTTTTTTACTATGAGTAGTGGGGGTAATTTTCTTATGGGGGTATAAAGGGAAAGTCAATACAAAAAGAATTCACTTTCTTAAAAGTCGTAAAGTCAAACACTGAAGATTATTTAGGACCGGAGGGAGTAACATATTGTGTTAAGAATCTAGAGCATGACAATAATTACCGCTATCTAATGAATAAAAACATATCACACATGTTTTGAAATTGTCAAACGTTATTAATCATATGTAGGACTAGGGGTGAACTCCGGTCGGGCCAACCGGCCCGGACCGGTACCGTTTGTACCTAGCCTGGGAACCGGTCTGGGTGCCGGTTCGGGCCAACCGACCTGGTCATATAGCGGTGCGGGCTCGGGCCTTATAAATGATGAACCGGCCCGGCCGGCCCGGGCCATAACGACCACTTTTTTTTTAAATATTTAAGCCCTCCTAGCCGTTGGGACTGTTCCCAAACGGCTCTATAGCCGTTGGAGGCCTAGGAGGGGGGGGGGGGGGGGGTCCGAGGGGTTTGGGGGCGGGGGGATACAAAAAAAATTATTTATACTCCTATTTTCTATACATTTTTTACACCTCTTCTCCTACAACTCTTCCTACTCTCTAATTCTCTATTCGATCTCTCATATTCAATCATCTTCATCTTCATGTTCTCCAATTCTCTCTACATATATATTATTTATATAATTATTATATCTACTTATAAATACATATATTATATTACTAATATTTATTATCTACTTAATATATACTTGTTATCTACTTAATATTTACTTGATATTTAGTTATTATCTATACTTATTGTTATTTACTTATATTTACATATTACATTTATTTAATATATACTTATATATATTAAAGTATTAAGTATAAGTGTATTACTCATCTTAATTATAATAATATACTTATTTATTATATACTATAAACATTATATTATATATTACTTATAATATATTTACATATTATATTATATATATATACTATATATACTTATACACATTCATACATTTTATAAAATTAGTTAATTGTTACATTTCTCTATATTTCTCTTTAAAGAAAAAAAAAACTAGTTACTTGTTACATTTCTCATATTAATATTAGATTGTTAGTTACTTTTTCTACATTTATCTTTAAACTAAAAAAAATATTTAATTGTTACATTTATCTAAATTTCTCTTTAAAGAAAAAAAAACTAATTAATTGTCACATTTCTCATATTAATATAAGTTAATTGGTACATTTCTCATTAAAGTAAAAAACTAGTTAATTATTAAATTTCTCTACATTTCTCTTTAAAGTAAAAAAAAACTAGTTAATTGTTACATTTCTCTACATTTCTCTTTAAAGAAAAAAAAAACTAGTTAATTGTTACATTTCTCTTTAAAGTAAAAAAAACTAGTTACTTGTTACATTTCTCATATTAATATTAGTTAATTGTTACATTTCTCATTAAAGTATTAATTAGAAGTAGTTTGATTTTTTTTTCAAGGAAAAAAATTGTTACATTTGATATACTCACATTTTAGTTCGAATATGCTATAATTTTTTTAGTCACATTTTATTATCACTATTGTACTCATATAAAAAATATTTGATATAATTTAATATTTGTTCAATTTTAAAGATGGACCGTGGTAGACATTCTGTAGATATGGGTAATCTCCAACGCAACCGGAAGAGGGAGATTGCGACGACTCATCCTAGTTCACGCAAAGGCAAAGGTAAAGCGTGGGCCGGGTATTCTTTTCAAAGTTGAGATGATTTTGAAACGGATTACCAACGGAGAGATGCTATGGCGATGTCCAACGACCAACTACATAACCTATTGTCCCAAAATGATCCACGCTTTGCACAAGAACAACAATTCCCGACAACCATTGACGAAGATGAGCTCGAGGATGAGGATGCGGGGGAGGACGAGGGGGGAGGGGGAGCGACGATACCCCGGATGATGAGCAAGAGTTGGAGGACGAGGGCGGGTCATCCCAAATTGGTAAGAAATCTAAATCTTCTATTATTGAAAACAATTTTACAAAAAGGAAAGACAAAAAAACCGATAAATGGTACGCAAGTTGCAATCATTGCAACAAAGAGTATAACTTGGGAACTTCAGGCGGATACGGGAGTCTGACAAAACATCTTAAGTCCGCGCACTTAGTGGAGTATGTGAAAATAGATAAAGGCAAGGGGAAACAAACACAAATATCAAGGTTTGCAAATTCTCAACCCTTTGGTAATTTCTCCTATGATGATCAAAAACATTTGACTGGTATGTCTCATTTAATTGTTGAAGAAAATTTACCTTATATTTTTTCCCAAAGTCTTGCTTTAAGAGATTATGTTCAAGATACTTTAAATCCTCAATTTAGAAATTATAGTCACAAAACGATTAAAAAAGAAGTTATAAGGCAATATAACTTGGAAAAAGAAAAAATTACAAACATTATTTTTCGCAAACCTTGATGGACGTGTTAGTATTTGTAGCAATATATGGGAGGATACTTATCATCATTTATATTATTTGGGTCTTACTGCACATTATATTGATGATGATTGTAATATGCATAAACATGTTCTTGCTTTTCGTGAATTTAATGATCGACACACCTCTGATAATATTTATCTTCTCATTGAACGTATTTTAATTGAGTATAATTTGATTGATAAGGTGTTTGTTGTACGTTTTGATAATGCTAGTAATAATACTGCTGTTATACCTAGATTGCGTGAATTGTGTGGTGCTTCTACATTGATGGGTAGGTTTTTTCATCAACTTTGTGCATGTCATATTCTAAATTTGTGTGTATAAGATGGGCTAGCGGCATTAGGAAATGTTTTGGAGGTAGTGAAGGGGGGAATTAAATTGATTTGGGATAATACTCCACTAAAAATGCAATGACGGCAATATTTGAAGGATAGACGTGTCAATTATTGTGTTTTTCCTAAAGATTTGTCTATTCGTTGGAATAGTACTTATAACTTAATTAAAATACTTATTAGATATAAAGATCATTTTCCTGCTTTTTAAAGAAAATCTTGTAACTATATTATAAACCCGGCTGACATCGACACTTGTGAAAAAATTGTAAATGTTTTGGTATATTTTAATAATGCAACTCAAACTTTTAGTCATGTTTATAAACCTACCGCAAACGAATTTTTTGTTGAAGTTGTTAATCTTGTCGGCGCTTTTTGTGAATTTTCCGGTGCCGCTTACGTTAGTTATTTTGTGATTTCATGAAACAAAAGTTTTTAAAGTATTATTCACATATTCCTCATATATATGGTATTGCATTTATTCTTGATCCTCGTTATAAACTTGCTTACTTGGGAAATTGTATAGATTACTATTATGCTTCTTTTTTTCCAACTCAAGAGTTCGATGATAATCCCATAGACCCTAAACAAGAATTCAACGAGGTTAGTAATTTATTTCATCAATTGTATAATGAATTTTATGCACAATATGGTAATGCACCCCCTCCCCTGCCGCGAACATCTTCTTCATCTAAAGGAAAATCATTTTTAAAATCTGCATTTGGTTCTCTTTTGAAAAAAAGTAAAGCAACTCCTGCTAATGAACAAAGCGCAGTTAACGAGCTTTCTTTGTATCTAACATTGAATGTTGATTATGAAGTTGGGGATGACTTTGACGTTCTTAAGTGGTGGAAGGAAAATGAGAGAACGTTCCTGATTTTATCAAAGATGGCTAAGCAAGTTCTAGCAATGCCGATATCAACAGTTGCCGTGGAACAAGAATTTAGTGCGGCGGACAACGTCCTAACCGATTATAGAACGAGATTGGGCCCGAGCTCTCTTGAGACGCTTGTTTGCTTCCACGATTGGTTGAAGGCCCAACGAAGAACTCAAGACATGAGCATCGCTCCCACCCGCCACTTTATGGAGGAAACAACCGAAGGCGGAGATTCCGATTGATTATTTATTACAAAATATATTACATTTATTAAAGGGAAAAGTACAAAAAACGTACCTGTGGTTTGGGCCATTTTCAGATAGGGGCATGTGTTTCATTTTCTGACAAAGTGGGGCATGTGTTTCAATTCCGTTATCATAGCAGGGGCACGGCGTCTAACGCCGTTAGAAAAATTAACTCCGATTTTAAAAAGTCTCCGAATAATTAAATGAAAAATACTGGGAGGTGCGCCTCGTCAAGGAGATCAACAAACTATCTTTCTCTTTGGATTTTTCGGCTCTATTTGGATTATTTTTTAAAAACAAATTCACTAATATCAATTTTCTGGTGGACTTTCTGGAGATATGGTGGCTGGAAACAAAAAAAAAAGATAGTTTGTTGATCTCCTTGACGAGTCGCACCTCCCGGTATTTTTCTTTTAATTTTTCGGAGACTTTTTAAAATCAGGGTTAATTTTTCTAACGGCGTTAGAGGCCATGCCCCTGCTATGATAACGGAATTGAAACACATGCCCCACTTTGTTAGAAAATGAAACACATGCCCCTATCTGAAAATGGCCCAAACCACAGGTACGTTTTATGTACTTTTCCCTTTATTAAATTCATCCTAATTCTCAATTGTACTTCTTATTTAAAATAAATATACTTGAATTTTTTTTATATTATTGTGTATTCCAATTCAAGAATCAACAAAAAAAGCCCGGAACCGGACTGGACCGGCCTGGTAAACCGTCGGGTGGCCCGGCCCGACCCGGAACCACCAGCCACCCGGGGCCGGTTCCGGTTCCCTTCTTCCAAAACAAAGGCTCGGCCGGGCTCAGGCCCAAATCGGAACCGGCCCGGCCCGGGTCCATCCCTATGTAGGACAATTTCTTTTGGTTTTATACAAATAAATATATAATGCAAAACTACACATATTTATGTAAAAAAAATGGGATTTTATATAGAACTTTTACTTTTGGATTTTTATATACTTGTTTTACATTTTAATTATTTATTTTATGGCGGTACGTTTGCTTCCACTTTTTTCTTTTACATTTCTCAATTTTTATTCATGAGAAATGGAAGGTCAATGAAGGTGAATGTCAGAATGTGGGTGAATCTTTTCCACCACAAAGGTTAATAAACCAAAGGATGCAATCATACCAGGCACTAATGTACCGGATCCCATCAAAACTCCGAAGTTAAGCGTGCTTGGGCGAGAGTAGTACTAGGATGGGTGACCCCCTGGGAAGTCCTCGTGTTGCATCCCTGAAGAAAAAAAAAGGTTAATAAACCAATTTTTGGGCTCCTTATGGGTTGTAGACTTTTCAGAGGTGAATAGATTCAGCATGAGTTTTCCACCACATTCACCCCATGACTTAGAAGTATAGTCTCATGATATGATGATAATGGAGAACAAGCACCCAAAATTTATAGGCAAAAAAACGCATGATTAGCTCAAATAGTACTCATGAAGGAAGATAGGAATGCGAGAATTATACAAAGCCTATCTATTGTGGTTTTGCATAATAGGATTATTTTGTCACAAGTAAATGGAAGCAATAACTCAAAGTAACAGTGTCAGGCGCAGAGGTAGTCCACTTCAGCTCTTGTGACTTTCTGTTTCATTGTTCTGATAAACAAGAAAAATACGAAGTCGGCAAAATAATTGGCCCAAAATGGTTAAACAAAAAATGCAATACACCACTTATCAAATTGATGATGACAAATTCATCTATTTAACTACATGGCTTATTCATGAAATGAATAAGTCTATCAGGGAGTCCGTGTACCGTACAGCCGCTGTACAGTCGGTGGCATTTTTGTAATTTAAGTGAAATTCACATCATAGGTTAAATGAGCATTAGTGTACTGTTAATGAGCAATAGTCCAAATTTAATGATCACCGTGTTATTACAAGAAAACTGATATCACAACTAAAAACGGTGACATTTTCGTAATTTCAGTGAAAATCGCGGTTTTCTTTAGATGAGCAATAATACACTTTTAATGAGCATCAGGCCTATTCTACTAGGCATTAAGAGTCGAATAATGAGTATTGTGATATCAACTAAATATATCGTAATTCACTTTCTTTTTCTTATTTTTATTATTATAAAAAAACTCATAAATTATATCTATAACTAATTCCTATGAATTTCAATATGCGAATCTAATGTAATATGGTACTTTCGAAATATGCATTAATTTGACATTTTAAAAATGAGTATAACATGACTACCAATTGAGTATACTAACTTATTAAAATGAGAATTATAGGTTTTTCAAGTTTAGTGAGCATCAAAACATTTTCATTGAGAATCAAACATCCTCTTTTGAGTATTATAAACATGCAATTGAGTATTATGATCTATGATCATGTATCTATAATCAACTCATACATGAATTTAATGTAATATAGTACTTTTGAAATATGCATTTACAAAACATTTTAAAATGAGCATAACACCGGTACCAAATGAGCAATCATATAAAAATCATAATCTTTGTTAATTAGTTGAACATCAAAACATGTTCGCTGAGCATCAAGCCCCCTCATCTGAGTATAGATAGGGATGGACTCGGGCCGGGCGGCCCGAACCGGAATCGGCCCGGCCCGGTCACTGTTTGAACCGGCCCGGCGGCCCGGCCCATGGGCGGTTCGGGTCGACCCGACCCGGTGGCTACCGGTTCCGGGCCTTCATTTTGGTGAACCGGCCCGGCCGGTTCGGGCCCGGTCCGGGCCGGATTTATTTATTTATTTATTTATTTATTTTTTGCATTTTTTTAAGTTTTTGGGTTGGATTGGGTATTTTGGGCCATTTGAGGTGGTTTGGGGTTGAGGGGGAGGGTAGGGGGTTGATTAGGAAAACCCAAAAAAAAATTATATAGAACCGAACCGGGCCCGGCCCGGCCCGAACCGGACCCGGGGTTACCCGGGCCGGTTCCGGGCTTCCCCTACTTTGAACCGAGGCCCGGCCGGTTCAAGGCCCGAACCGGGCCCGGCCCGGAACCGGTCCACCCCTAAGTATAGATCAGAAGCATATAACTGAGTATTATGATCTAACTCTTATACAAATTTAATATTACAGTTTTGAAATATGAATTAATATGAAATTTTGAAATGAGCCTAAATTAGTACGAGATGAACATAAGTAACTTACAAAATGAGCATCGAAAAATTCAAAAAAACTTGTTTGAATTCTCTAGTGTGTTCAAATGTTCAGTAGTGCATATTTATTTTGCACTATACTCATTTTAGCATAACACTAAACTCATATTACTATTTAAACATAATATTTAATAACTAGTAAATATTTTTCTTAAAATTTAAAATAGAAGAATACAACATTAATACCTAAAATATTTTATAATTCACAAATTAAAAAAAAAATAAGTTAGAAAGTTGATTGAAAAAAGAAAAAAACTCGAATCTTGTATTTAATATTTTTCTGAAAGATTGTATTAATATTTTATAGTATAAATTTTCAAAATAATTGAATAAAAAAATAAAACAAAAGGTTTTTTAATAAAAGAGTAAAGAAAAAGAAAGAAAGAAAGAAAACAAGAAAGTCGGCTAAAAGCAATTAGCTAGAAACGTACGCCCAAAAGCAAAACAGAAAATGAAATAAAAAAGAAAATAAGAACAAAGAACAGGCTGCAGTCAAGCACTCAAGCGGCAAGCCGAATGGCGGCATAAAGAAAATAAGAGAAACGGATGCAGCGTAACTATCGACCTTTGACATGAACTTAATTACAAAAATGCCGGCTGTACCATGAGCATGGTACAGCCGGCTGTACCTTATAAATTGCCTCTATCAGGCACCAACATAAAAGTATAAAACTATTAGTAACTCTAATGGTAAGGTGTTGTGATTTCGGATTTTCAGTTATTGACATGGTGCAAAACTTAAGCTCCATTTGACTGACCTATTTTTTTACTGTATCAGAAAATGTTTTTGGATTTCCTGTGTTTGGTGGCGGTAATGGGGAATGATGTGTGTTTTCTCGCACTTAAAATAGATCGTAATATAGTAGTGTAAGTACGAGTATCGTCTCCACAGGGACGGACAAAAGGGAATCAAGAATTAATTAAATTCAGCGATTAAAAGAAATAAATAAAATAATGCGTCGTGCGAGATTGGTTGGTTGAATAAAAATTAAACTAATGTGAATGAACGATTAAAATAAAAGTGGTTTCTTCTCAATTAATGACGAAGGGAACAAAGATTGATTCCGGGGTTACCAGATTTCTGGCAGATCAGGCCTAATTACATGAAATTAATTCAATTGAGCCTAGCTAATCATTACTAAGTTCTTACCGCTCTCGCGGCGTAGAGTACAATAATTTAGGGGACCAGGCTGATCTCTCATGCGACAAGATCCTAAATTATTGCCGAGCCGAGCGAGCTTACGGCCCCTTAATCGCTACTAATCTCTTAGCGAACGATTAAGTGTGTGAATGTGTCCTAGAATAAACTAGATCTCTCTTAATTTATTCTACAAGCAATTGTAATTCTAGCCGCGGTTCCAGGTTACAAAAGATATCAGTTAAATTATTCAAACACAAATTAAATGGCATTCATGCAATTAAACCAACAAGAATCTAGCCATCAATCATGATTAACCCCTTCATCAACCCCAAATCCCTAATTAAACTAGTCATGCTCTTAGTGTAAATAATCAAGGGTAAGACAATTGCCGTTTAAAATAAGCTTGTTGCAATTCAATGTAATGAGTACATTCCTAACTAATTTGTTTAGCCTTGATGCTGTGTTTCCTTGCCAAGATCTTAAATTAAAAGTGGAAAAGAACTTAATCTCTGTTGTGCTGGAATCATGCTAAACATAATATACACTGGACACTACAGAACTTTTTATGTTTTGGTCATCAATAACAAGTTGCTAAGCCAGACTTTAAGCGGCCTATTAAAATCTTACTTCACTTCACCCTGATCAGTTAATCACATATTTCTGCTTGGTTACACATATAGTTAAGCATAACCACTTTAAAACCATTTTAACCCAACATAGTAATATCGGCAGAACATGGAATAATCATTAAATTGACTAGAATTCACAGCAGTACTATGTATTGTGCTTTGCAAAACACAAATTAGTGAATTACTATCAACAATGTGTCTAACCCACATTACAGAATTACTCTAAACCATAGCAAAAATATTTTACTATTAGTAACAATTTTGCGTACTAAACGAGCATTTGAAAATTTATACCTTCTCTGACTTCTCTACTTCCGCCTTATCTTCTTCTTCCTTCTTCTGCTTCTCTAACCTCTCCTTCTCCATTTTCTTTTCCCATGAAATTAATTAGGACAAAAAAATCAATCTCCAAATTAGATATATGGATACATACAAACGCACGAGAGTACATGAGATGAAGACATTCATAGAATAGACTTATAGGAGGGTGATTAATTGATTATTATACTTGAATATAGAGGATCTCTTTAGCACACTGTTCATCACTGAGGATACGACCTGATCCATTGCTGAAGCAACAGGAACCCATAGCTGATAATCGGCCGGCGAAGGAGCTACATTCCGTTAGACGACGAAGGCCAGAGCTCGAAAAGGCAGATCGCAAAGCCATATTTTTGGGTGATAATAAGAATGACGAACAACAAGCCCTAATAAATCGTACGGAATATGGCATTTTGAATGTCTTGCCCCGTGGAACAGGTAAAGGGCAATTGCAGTTTTATTTGAGTTTTTTTCAAAAATAAAGTTAAACAAAAAAGTATTTACAGATTTATAGTTGGGTTAAAAATATATACCAAACTAGTGCTCAAATTAACTAGGGTTAGGCTTGAAGAAAAACGCACGCTAGTTAGCGACTTTCTCTTCTCCAACAAAGGCACCGTACGTGATGCGCTGGAGAAAGAGATGGAGAAGCAGGTAGTGGGTCCCATGGTTAAAAAAAGTTCTTTTTCTTTAAATTGTTATTAATTTTATATTTTTGCTCCATATTTTTTAAAAAATATATCAAATTTCATAATTTTCTATGATCTTTCATATGACACCAATATTACATATATAAATTCTCAAAAAAATTAAAACCCATATGAGGTCAAAATTGTGTATTCACTTATCAATCTATTTTTTCCTGCAATCTAGCATCACCAATATATTTTTAATTAAATCTTTACATTTATCATTACATAAATCTGACGAGCCGATTGCTAGAATTTTTATAGATACCTTTTTTCAAGAAAAGATCTCAAACAACAAAAAGGTTAAACTTTAGTTATTTTACATCCAAACTCTTGACTTTTTAGATCATAATTATTTATAAAAATAATAATATTTAAAAAATGTTGATTTACCATAATAAGAGCACGTTTGATAACCCTGATTTTTGGCTTATCAATCAACTTTTACACTAAACACATAACTTTTGATTTCACACCCAAAATTGTATAATAATAAGAAAAAGTATAGTTTATGTTTCTTTTTTAGCTGTATTGGCTGAAGTTACTGTAGATAATCTTTTTAGCAATTGTTTATATAATTTTTCTTTATGTAATTAATAAAATATATTTTAATTATAATTTTTTCATAAATCCGCAGAATCAGCCAATCCAACCACTTTAGTCATAACTTCATAAATTTCAGCAAAATCAGTCAATGCACCCAATTTGGGTGTCACCAAATGAGCTCTTAATTTAGAAATTAATTTAAAAAAGCATATTGGGTGAATATAATGACAATTCTAAATTGTAGGCAAAACTTGTTTGATGGGTAGAACACAATTTTCGTATGAAGTAGTAGAGAATTTGTTTTAGGAGAAAATAATTAAAATACCCCAAATTTTGAAGAAGTGTGAGATAAACACCCAAAACTTTCATATGTAATTTAAATATCCCCAAATTTATATAAAAAATTATTTTTCACCATGACCATACATTATTTCTTTAAAAATGTAAATTTATGGAGTTAATTGCATAATATAAAATAGCAAATTATCTACAATGGGGGTAGTATTATATTTATTTTATAATGGAAGTTTAGAATGTCAATTGTATTTTCATGAATACTAAAATATTTTAATTTATGAAATTAATTAATTAATACCAAAAACTAACATTTTTCAAAGAGATAATATATGACTATGATGCTAAAATAACTTTTTATATAAAGTTTGGGGTATTTAAATTACATATGCAAGTTTGGGGTGCTTACCTCACACCCCTTCAAAGTTTGAAGTATCTTAATTATTTTTCTCTATGTTTATTAACGCCGTGACGGCGCATGTAGCAACTAGGATATATAAAATTAAATAATTATTTTAATTTTAAGATTAACAAATGGAAAAATAATTATTTTAATTTTAATTATTTTTGTTTATTGGTGTCATATGCAACGACAACGTATCTAAACCGAGTGTTGCTATTAGCCGCACAAGAACGGCAAAAACGATTGGTCAAAGAATTTTTTTTCAAAGTTTGAAATATTTTATTTATTTTTCCCTTACCTAGCTCACACTCCTTCATATAGTCTTCAATTTTTTTATTTTATATATTCAATATTGGTGTCATATGAAAGATCATAAAAAATTATAAAATTTGATATATTTTTTATAAAAAATGAAACAAAATTATAAAAGTTATAACAATTTAAAAAAAAGAGTTCTTTATTTTTTACTTTGGACCCCACCTGCTTCTTCCATTTCTTTCTCCAACGCATGTACTGCGTATTACGTAGGTGCCTTTATTAACCCTAGTTAAATTAGCAGTAGATTGGTATATATTTTTAATCCAACTTTAATTTTGTAAATACTTTTATATTTAGCGTTATTTTTGAAAAAAACTCGTTTTATTTGACCAGGCAGTTTACCTTAATAAGACCAAAATATGTTTTTTTCCAAAATAGGAGCATCTAGTTTAAACTTTAAACATCCTTAAATAAGACTTTTTGTTAGTGATTGGACCAAAATACCCATCACAGCCTTTACTACTGCTGCCCAGGGATTGCCGGACTGCCGCCTACCGCCAGTCGCCCTCCCTTGCCGGAGTTCGCTGCTGCCGCTGCCGCCGATCCGGACTGCCCCCGCTACCAACGGACTGCATTGGTTGTGCAAGAGAACTGGGGGCAATTAATTAACCCAATTAATTGCCGGAGTTCGCCGCCGCCGCCGGAATCCGCCGCCACCACAGACTGCCCTGCCACCGACGGACTGCCTTGGTTGTGCAAGACAACTAGGGGGCAATTATTTAGATCAATCAATTAATTAATTAATTAGAATTAGGGGTAAAAAAGGTAGGGTTAGTCCTATATTGGACACTTTTCTCAAAAACAATTTTTTAGTGAGGAAAAGATGAACTAATAATTTTACCTTTTATTTGTTTCATTGAATAATTTCCTCTGATCATAGTCTCATTATAATTCTACTTTTATATCTCATCTTCTTTCGATGGTCCTTGATCGATCGATGACCTGTTTATTCCATGTTTTTTATCATTAAACCATAAAACCACGCCTTCTACAAATCCTTTTCAAAACGGTCTTACATATTATTTTTCTTTTTTCGTAAGAGGTATCCTTCTTCTTTCTTTATTCTCAACGTTTTAATTCATTTTTCTTCTTTTTAATTTTATGAGAAAAGTACAGAGAAAACACATGTGATTGAGAAGGTTTTCGGACAGAGTCATGTGTTTCATTTTTAACAAACTAGGTCATGTGTTTCAATTCCGTTATCACAGGAGAGCCTTGGCGCCAACAGTGTAAGAAATCATTGTAGGAAGACGATGAAAAGTATATTAGTTTTTTTGGAAGAAAGATACTCCCTCCGACCCTAAAAGAACTTCAATTTCGCTTTTCGAGAGTCAACTTAAATCACTCTTAAACTCTTACTTTATATATCAAAATTTTATGAAAAAATAATTATTTTTTGCAGGCTTTGTAGCGGTTTTAATGTAGTTTTTGAATATGTAAATTTTATTTACTAAAAATAATCCGAGTTTTTACAGGGATCATTTAACTTTATTGTTGGTCAAACTTCGTAACCCGCAATTGGAAGAACATTTAGGGACGGAGGGAGTAATTAATTACTATTAATCAAATCATAATTCAGCACATCAGCAATAAAATGAGGTGGACTAAATAACCAATACGGACAATCAGACATAGAACTCGCTGCCATTGCCATCACATGTGCAGCTCGATTCGCAGATCGTCGAACATGAGAAAAAGACACACTAACAAAACTCGTCCTCAATTCTCTACTATCAGGACGTGCGTCTCGTCAAGGAGACCAAACCATCTTCCTCTTTGAAATTTTTGGGTCTGTTTGGATTATTTTTAAAAACAAATACGCTCATATTACTTTTCTGGTTCACTTTCCGGTTACAAAGGGTCCATTATGTAATAAAAACGAAAAATGTCCCGGAGGCGGCTTGATGGGATGCACCTCCCAGTATTTTTCATTGAATTTTGCCGAGTACTTTTGAAAGTCGGAGTTACTATTTATCATCTTTCTCCACCGATTTCTAACGGCGTTAGCGCCATGCCCCTTGTTACAGTTTGGAACGCATGACTCTGAAAACGGGTTTAACTACGTGTACTTTTTATGTACTATTAACTATTCCCTATTTTTATTTATTTACCTTGTTTGTGTATTCCTTTGTTCATTTACCAACAAACTTTATTATACAATTTTTCTCTCTTATTTTTTCGTGTTTCTTATTCTCTATTTTTATTTTTTCCCTTTGTATGTGTTCTTATTCGTTATAGTCTTTTTTGTAATTTTCCCGACAAGTTTATATTTTTCTTTGAATTTTTCCGAAAAGAAAAATATATATTGGTGGTGAAATTAAGGTAAGAAAAAGGAAAAAAGGAAATGAGTAAGTGGAAGTAAAAAGAAAGTTAAGTAAAACATTAGTAAGGTGATAAAAAGATACGTAGTATTTTATAAGAACAGAACTAATCCAAAAAAATACATAGAAATAGAAATGAAATAATAAACAGGTAGAAGGAAAAAAAAAAGGAAAAAATGGAATACATAAACATGAAAAAGAAATAAAAAAATAGTATGAAAGCGAACAAAGGAATTGAAGAGTCAAGGGGATAAAAGTAAGAGAAAATTATTATAAATATTACTAAAACTCATGTGTTTTTCTAGAGTATGTGAGACTGTGTTGAGATAATTTGTGAAAGGTGAGATATATGATTTAATCATTCACAAAGAAAATAAATTTGGAGTTGTGGCTCATCAACCGGTTATGTATGGATGAAAGACGTGGTGAAAATGTGATATTATTTCTAAATTCGTAGATGGAATTATTGTAAGAAAACCATCAAAAGGTGAAATTCTTAATTTCTATTTCCCATTGATAGTATATTCGTTGTGAATTTGTTATGAGTGTATGTTTCCATGTAGTTAGTTCAAAAGAGCCTTATAATCAACTATTGTAGGGCTGTTTGTTTACCATGTTTATTGGCCTATAATCAACTATCTTCGTTTTTTCACTAAACATGTAATTATTAATTTCTCATTTTAAATAATTAACAGAGAAATAACGGTAGGCGTATAACTAATAGGCTTTTCCTTTCAAAAAATATAACAAGTTTGACATCTTCCAAAAATGTGACCTGTTTTCCCTCGCCCAACAGATCTACACATTTCTCTTCTCCGCAGCCATCGACAGAAGACATCCCACGCGGCCACGCCTAAGCTGAAAACGTCGAAGCCTCCCTTCAACGATCGAGCTTATCTGCCTTCTTCGCGCT